CGCGCGCGCGCGAACACATGTGTGTTTGTCCATTGAGTAATAAGCTGATTACTCCAGTACGTACTAGTCAGTCCTTACTAGTCAGCTTATTACTCCAAGGTGTGTCCTAGTATGCATGTATGTGTATGTGTGCGTACGGGCGTGCGTGCGTGCGCGCGCGGGTGTGTGTTTGTCTTAGGATGCGTGTGCGTGTGTTCGCCCCAGTGAGTATGCATGTTCGCGCGCGCACGTGTTTAGCGAACTAAATCCATCTTGCCGCATGCTCTGAACGACAAACACCGTAAATCAACACTATTTCCCCCGAAATAATATTGACCTCGTATATACATATATATATATATTTATACGACCATTTTCAGGTATTTCTCACCCGACGCACCACGATCATTGTCTGCACAACATCCCGGCATGTCAGCACGCAATAGCCGTGACGTCACGGGAAATGCACACCGACGCGCGCCGTTGCCATTGGCAACGATGAGCGGCGCCGCGCAGACGTTACTGCGCCTGTTGCTAGCGGCGACGGCAGCAGCCGCGCCCTCTACCGCCGCGACGTCCTGCATCGACGCCGAGAAGGCGTGCGAGACCAGCATGCAATGCGGCAACGCCAAATTCAACATGGAGCTCGGTTGCAACGAGCTCATCTACCCTGCGGCCGGCGCTCCGAATGTCGGCTGCTCTATGCGATGCCAGCGCGCCCTGGTGTCGCTCGCGTCGACGCCCGAAGGATACGAGTGGTTGGAAAACTGCGACTGCGGGTTGAATCACGGGTGCCGACGCACGCAGGAGGTGTACGCGCGCGTCTGCGCCAGCACTTTCCCGCGCAACGCGACGGGCCGTCAGCCGATCGGCTGTTTGAAGGCCGAGTGGATCTGCAAGAGCAACGAGCTGTGTCGGCATGCGCTGCGATATCATATCGACCACTGCAGAGACATGATCGCCGGACGACAGTGCGCGCCGACGTGCAACGAGAGCATCGCCATCTTGTTTCGTCAGAGCAAGGCCGCCTACCTGCAGACCTGCGTCTGTGACGGAGAACGACCGCAGCCGTGCGAGCGCTGGCGTCGCAACGTCGACCGTCTGTGTCTGCTGATCAGCGCCTCCTACCGGGCGACCGCCGCCGACGTCGTCGTCGTCGTCGCGGCACTCGTGTTAGTTGTCGTCGCGCAGCAGCAGCGGTGGATGTCCTCCTAGCCGCAATATCGACCGTTCGTGCCTGCTCATCAGCGCCGCCTACCGGCCGACCGCTGCCGACGTCGTCGTCGTCGTCGCGGCACTCATGTTAGTTGTCGTCGCGCAGCAGCAGCGGTGGATGTCCTCCTAGCCGCAATATCGACCGTACGTGCCTGCTCATCAGCGCCGCCTACCGGCCTACCGGCCGACCGCCGCCGACGTCGTCGTCGTCGTCGTCGTCGCGGCACTCATGTTAGTTGTCGTCGCGCAGCAGCAGCAGT